TGTAAATTAATAAAACGCCTAGTAACTTTATCATTTTTTTAAATAAAATGAAAAGTATTGTTTTATAAAATATTTACAAAATAAATATGAATATAACATAAGTTGAACATGTATTATATTTTTTTATACTCCTTTACCATAAAATTATGTGTGACTCATTTAATAGATTCTTTATACATAAATATGATCGGACAAACTATACAAACTAAATCCGCGAATAAGTAGACAATTGCGAACCACTGGTATAGCCACATCTCACCAATAGGAAGCTAACACGTATATAATGTATCACGTGTGTTGAACGTTCGATTTGTGTTCCTCCGAAAGTTAAGCATTTTGTTATCAATTAAAGAAAATGAAAAATTATTTAATTAATTTTCCTTTTGCAATTTTGACAATAATTGTGTTATGGACAAGCTCCGCTAGAGGTAAACTAATGTTTTTATTTTCAACTATATGCGAAATGTCAATGTCAATCGACGTATACTTGAAATATTATTGTATTTATAATTAACTTGAATTTATTAATACATATCGTTTTCTTGTTAAGTATTTCTATATGAACGTAACGATGTATTATTAATATTACTGATATCTTCATGTTAACCTATTATCTTTTGATACATGCTATGCTTCTATGTATTAATGTCACATTTATTATATATAGCTAAGGGAACACAGTATGTGACATGCGGTTCTGCATTAAAATTATTTAATGTAGACTACAAAGTCACATTACACACTCATGATATTAAATATGCAAGTGGCAGTGGTCAACAATCAGTAACGGGTTTGTCAACAAAAGAAAATGGAAACTCCTACTGGCTTATTAAAGGCGCAACGAATACACACTGCACCAGAGGGTATGCGACGACAGTATTATAGCAAGAGAATACTTCATGTTATAATTCATGCAATTAATTTTAAACAGCGAGCCTGTCAAGTGTGGAGACATCATAAGATTGGAGCACACAGGTACGAAAAAGAATCTTCATTCACACCGTGTTAGCTCGCCTCTTAGTGGTAAACTAGAAATATCTGCTTATGGAGATACCAAAGGAGAAGGGGACAATGGAGACAATTGGCTCGTAATATGTGACAATGAAAATGAATTATGGAGAAGGGATTCTCGTATTATGTTAAAACATGTTGACACAACTGCGTAAGTTAGACTGTGATATTTGAAGTATCTTAAAAGTATCTTTAAGTATATTTAAAATTGTCTCTTTTTTATAGATATTTAACAGTGAGCGGAAGAGTTTATGGTCACCCAATTAGTGGCCAAAGTGAAGTAGTAGGTGATATTACTGTTACCGGTCCCCGTTTTCAATGGATATCGGCAGAAGGTGTATTTGTTCACCCTCATAACTTTGAAGCTCAACACTCTGCGCATACAGAATTATAAAATGCTTTTCACTAGATTTACAATTTTGTATGGTAAATAATATTCTAACTAATTTTATTGAATATTTCAAAGAATAGATACTTATGTCAACGTCTTTTTAAATTTGATTTCAGATCAGTATCTGATTGTTCTATATTTCTATGAGGAAAGATTTTCCTGAAAAACACTTGAATTGATTTTATAGATCAGAAATTAATAGAAAAATTATATTCTTCCATTACTGTAACTTGTAAGAACAAATTTAGGAAACAGAAAACGTAGCATTATTTATTGTTCTCGTAATATACATAAACGCCAAATAATATTGTGAACAATTATACTTTTAATATTACTTTTATTATTAGTAAGATTGTAACAGGGAAAAGCTTCTTAATTGCACAAGAGTTGTTTTTATAATTTTCCTAACACTTCTATGAAGAGTGTGAAAATGTAATAAACGTATACAATATTTATTACAATATAATAAAATTTAAGATAATTAAAAAAATGTATATTTAATTTTATCA